CAATAGCAAACACATGGAATCCTGGAAATACTTCAGATATTAATGTAAATCCATCACATTTTGCAAATCAAAAGTATATGCAGACGCATGATACATTTCTTTTCATTTTATTGATGTATAGATATAAAATGGAAAGAGTATCTCTAATTTTATGTTTAAAGGATGTTCTATTTATGTACCAAATAAATATAATGAATTTATTTTTATACCTCTTCCTGCTATAGATCCCTCATTGCAGGCTCTATTTAACCTCTTCACACTGGCACTCGTGTATACATCAGTGGTGTAGTTTGGATTTGTGCTGCCCTAGGCATGATGGAACTTGGGTGCACCCTGATTTAAATTTACCCCACCCTTCCTGCAATGGACACACCTCTTCCTGTTAAAGACTAATACATATTTTGACTAACAGGCAAACACTGACACACCCACTCACGGACAAGCAAACACTCACATGAACTGACATACACACATACATTGACTTGACACAATCTGACAGGCACGCACACTCACTCAGACACACACAGACAGATGCACACACTGACAGACACACTCACTCACGGACATGCACAATCATTCAAACTCACTCACTCAAAGACACAGAGTGACAGAAATACACACACTCACTCACAGACACCCACACCCACCCACATTCACTGGCATACACACTCACTCACAGACACACACTGACAGACAAAAAAAACAAACTCACTGACAGACACACACACACACACACACACAAACACTGACAAGCATACACACTCACTGACAGATATACAGACACACATATCCCCTCCTCCCCCCCCTCACCCAACACTCAAAAATTATTTAAATCCAACCAGCTACTGGCAAATGAAGACCAAGTCTGTTGGACCCCATATATATATATATATATATATATATACATAGGGAATGTGGGGCCCATAACTCCAAGAACAGTCGAGGTCCCACAGGACCGCTGGACCCATGACAACCGTCATGGTTGTCATGCCCTGATGGCGGCCCTGTGTGTGTCTGCAGCATCTATAAGAGGGTCTGAAAGTATGTTGGTGTCTGGATGTGTTTATGTCTCTGACAATATTTTTCCATGTGGGTCTATCTGTGGCACCAGGGCTGGTGCAAGGATTTTTGGCTATACATGCAAAGATGCATCACTTTATTTCCTTTCCAACCCCTCTGTGTGTCTTTCTTCCCCAGCCTCTTTGTCTCTATATGTCTCTCTCTCTCTGTCTCTTTTGTCTTTTCCCTAGCCCCTCTGTGTTTATTTGTGTCCCTCCAGCCCCTCAGGGTGTCTCTCCCCCAAGCCCAATGTGTGTGTCTTTTCCGCCCACCAACTGGTTGCTTTCAACCCCAGCCCTCTATGTTGCTCCTCCTAGCCCCTCCATGTATCTCATCTCCCCCACATGTCTCATTCCCTTGGCCCCCATGTGTCTCAATTCCTCCCTTCAGCCCCTTCATGTATCTCATTCTCCCAGCCCCCATGTATCTCATTCCCCCAACCACTCATGTTTCTTATTACCTCTCCTCTTCCATATGTCTCATTCCCTCGAGCTACCCATGTGTTTTACCCACTCTCCACTCCCCTCCATGTGCCACTCTGTACCCCCCATGTACCTCACTCTGTGTAGCATGGCCAAGCTGTGGGAGGCTTATAGTAATATATGATCGCATAAGATAAATAAATCTCTGTTGATTTTTAGAAGTTTGTTGTTTGCAAAAACAATGTGTGTTTTAAAGCTAAATTGTAAGGATGTTCAATTGATTTAAACCTGAAATGAAATTTGGATGAATTTGGACAAATTTAGCAATTTCAGACATAACATTTCTGAATCAAAAAACAACATAGTGAACCGATAACCAAAAACAAAACAAAACATAATTTTTCTGATTCATTTTATTTGATAAAGATCAAAATTTAGTAGATGACTCCCTAATGTACTAACCTTACATACAATTACATGTGATATTGAAGGATATAAAATTGGGGAGCTATTTACTAAACATCTCTTCAGTTTAGCAAATACATCACTAATTTGATAAACTTCCATTGGATTGCCATAATTAATTATACCAAATGAGGGATTTATTTAGCAGATTTTGGTAATATTTTGGTAATTGTTATCATAATGGCAATCCCACAAAAGAATAGTAAACTATGGAGTATTCTACTAAACAGCCTAAAGCGCAAACATCTTATTTTCTTATTCCTTTCTAAACTTTGTTATTTCAGCAGTTTTGCAGATAACACCCTAAACTGGTAATTACTTTGGTAACTTGTGACTGCCACCTTCATTCATTGTACATAGGAAATAATGGGCTTCTGAAATTCAAAAATTTACAATTTCCAAACAGAAATCAGACACGTCTTAATTTCAGCCTGATTTAACATTGCTACGTAGTTACACGTAATCTAGGTTGAAAAAAGACCTACAGGTTTAAGCTTCAAGCCCATTATTTTATGCTGTTGGTACAACAGAAGGCAAAAAAACAAGCAAATGTATCAGTTTCCAATTATGCTACAAAAAGTGGGGGAAAAAAAAATCTGTTTGTCAGTCACATTTCTCTTTCAGTTAAACACCTGTTCACATGCGTATTAATTCTATCATTGAATATCCAGTTTTAGAAAAAAAACAAAACAAAAAGAAAAACCTCCAGGCCTGTCTTATATAAAGTATCTATAGTATCTGATAACATAACCTATTTAGGTGTCATGTTCCACATCTTTATTGTTGTTTCTGTAAATTATCATTCCTGTAAGCAAGGACTCTTCTTTCAGGCTCAATAGGTTTGTTTCAGATTAATTCATTTATTTAATTTCAGCTTGTCTGAAAGCTTTGATTATCATTTAATCAGATCAGATTCAACTTTATTGTCACTGTATCATGTACATACAAGGGCAATGAAACACAGTTGGCGTTTGAACAGATATGCAGCAGTAATTTATAAAATACTATTTAAAAATGTACTTACAGTGTAAGCTTTCCAGTTCATACTTAATACCACAATTCTCTAATTCTTAAGAATACAATCCTCCTACATTACTACCAATTTCCAGCGGAAAAAAACATTGACATTATACAATTGTGCCACCATATAAAAAGCCAACACACATCCCATAACCCCAATCTAAGTAAAAATTAAGTGTACCTGTAACGGATCACCTGGCACCCCGACTGGGTACCTCCATTGAAGGATGCTCCTAGCGCTTCCTGAGGACTCCAAGCACTGCAGCAGACACCAAAACCACCGAACCGTAGAAGCATTTGAATGCTCTCAAGCATATGAATGCTGTAAGCAGCTAAACAGGAAAAGCATACAATCAGCTTACACTCCTGGCAATCAGCATACAATCCAATTCCCCCAATAACGAGACAACACTTAGTTTTGAGGTCAAGCAGAACTGACTGTACTGGCACATACAGCCTCTTTTATTCACAATCCATAAACATAGTACTGCCCACAGGGTTTTGAAATACAACCAATCAATCCATACAATACACACAGACACTCCCACACAAAAGCCTCCCCTCTGCCTGTGGTATGATTACTGAACACAATGGTTAATATAATTATCACAGGCAGAGAAATACAGTATTATAAAACATATCACAAGGAACCCAAAACATGCAATAACACCATAAAATCTGGATGAACCACATATCCAAAATTCACCCAGATCCGTTCAGTAATTTGGTAGATACAGTTTAATGCAGATTCCGCAGAACATATACAGGCTAGATGAAAAATAATTAATGTTAAATGTGTCCCCTGTTGTATAGTTTAAAACTACTGAACGATGTCTTTGTGCACCAAGTACCGGCGAGATGGCACCGTGTAGAAAAGTCCAAACAGTGTCTGTGAGTTAAAATGGCCGCCATCCATTGTTCTCACCATGTGCCTCTGATACATGAAAAGGTGGCCACCCAGTAACTCCACAGCATGTCCCCAGATGGTTCTTAAAGGGCCAGCAGCAGCATAATAAAATACAATATGCCCAAATCAGTTCCTAGAAGGGCAATACATCCCAGGGCCATAGTCGCAGGGCAGGAGGCTGGCAAACCGGCCCCTCCAAAAACCAGTGGCGAGGTCACTTTCGCCACAGTACCAACTACCATTCTGTTAATACTCTAGTGCAAATAAATACCAACAATAATATTTGTTGGATACGCTTTCAAATGATTTAATATGTTTTGATAAACTTTTAAAGTGATTTAACATTATAAAAAATATTTTCATTATGTAATTGTTTGATCTTCTTGATATAATCTTTTTATACTTGATATAATTTTTACTATTTTAATATTGTGAAAAAATAAGTTTTAAATATTAAATTGGAGCTTTCAGATGAACTAAAATTAGAAAAATAACAAATTTGAACATTAAGTTGAATGATTTATCTATCGGTCATCATCATAGATATAATGTATTTTACATCTAAATAAAACAAAATCCATCAGTTGGGGTGTCTTTAAAAATAAATTTGTTCAAGAAATAAAAATGTGTTATATGAAAAGTGTAGACTTTTTTCTTTTTTTTATTGAATTCTTTTAATCATACACTCTGCATATAATCAAGTATTTCAGCATTTTATTATAAACATCATGTTGCATAATATTACCTTGATGGAGCTGTGCAGTACTATGAGAGATACGGCACATTTCACTCACAAAGTGTGCACTATTTTTACAAATATAAACAGGAACAGAAACAAAAGAAAAGGGAAAAGAGTTAGACCATGATAAATGTAACACAGATGTATAAGTTGGTGCGTTAGGGGATGAGGGTGGAGGGGGAGATGGGTTGCACTGCCCTTGTTAAGGAGGTAGTGTTTGTTAGATTGCTACAATGCATATGCAGTGCTTAGTCATGAGCAGTCCATGCATCATTTCCTTGTAGCGGGTACATTTTCAGATTGTCCACATTGACTGCATATGATTCATGGTTTAAGAGGGAATCTGTGGCGGCAAAGGACACAGTCGCGGGAGAGATTTAGGTACTGAGGGATGCTTTGTGCTTGTTTACAGAGGGGGACAGAGTGTGTTGGGTTTCATTTATATAATGTTCCCAGTGTGACCATGTTTGTTTCCAAAATTTTGCAGGATACATCACTGTACATGCTGTTATGTCATAAGTTTGTATGGATGACACCTGCGGCAGAGGTTTTTAACCAATTTCTGCTAATAATCATGAGGGCTGCTAATAAAACAGTTTTCGCGCCCTTTTGCTAATGGCCACAGAAGGAGGAGCAGGCAAGTCTCCAGGGTATTTGGTAAGTTGATATTTGTACAATCCCGAATCAGTTTGTTTATATCTGCCCAGTAAGTAGAAAGTTTGGGGCAGGACCATCAAACATAGAGCATGGAGCCCATGCCTGACTGGCACCTTCAACACTTGTCAGGGCTTTGGGGGTCACAATGTTTCAATCTGGTGGGTACCATATACCAGCGGTAGAGGATTTTCCTTGATAACTCCACATGAGAGTTGCAAAGGGTTAGGTGTTTATACGCATGGTATAGATATTTCTTTTGGGGGTGTGTGAATTTGAAGTTCAAATCCTTTTCCCATTTAGTTAAGAAGGGAGGGTGGTGTCAGTTAATGCTTTGTAGGCTTCTAAGTAGAGCATGGATATGATTTTTTTTTTTTTTTGTGGGGGTCGATGAAATTTAAGCCAGCCCTTTCCGCCTAAGACAGTTGTCCATATACATTTGATGTGTTTCTCACATCGTTTCTGTGCATCCAAGATTGCAATTGAATATATGAGAATTTAGCTATATTAGAGATATTATTTTATTTTTGTAACATGTAAAAGTCGCAAAGCGTATCATTCTGAACCAACTGATACAGGGAAGTTATCCCAAACATATGACAGGATTTGTAATTGAAGTCTGGTATGAGAGTGGAGAGAGCCTCTATGAGCAGTGCTAGGGAAATTTGTGTGCCAGTGTTGTGTTTGTGTCTGTATTAATCCCAATAGTGAAGTGTCACCTCAGTGGTTGGTAGTATGCTCGGGTATTTGCCGTGCAAAGATGTTGGAGTCCATGCTAGAGTAAAATGTAACCTTGTACTGCAGAGAACCCCTGAGTCTCACAGAATGTAATAATTTAATTGTTTCATTCATTTATATTGCAGCTATGAGAGTTTATAATTAGGTATATGTTACAGTAGTATCAAGATTTACTAACATGATTTGTTACATTTCACAAACTATGCAGATAGCTGCCATCCTAAAAGCTGTAATTATACTCAATAAATAATTAACTGTTATTATCACAGTTTTTTTCACAGATTTTTGTTATTCAAAATTTGGCATGCTAAATTAATAAAGGTTTTTGTTTTTTCATTTAAACTTATTCTTCATTAATATTAGTGGAGTTATGGTCAATTTTCTCAAACTATGTACCATGCTCAAATTTATCCTATCTCTAAGAACAGTAATGGCTAACAGTACAGTAATAGATCCAAAGGAATTAATGAGTTTGCCAAGAGAGGCAGTATAAAGATAGAACAGAAGCAGGTCCGGCGCTACCTGTTAGGCGGACTAGGCAGGGGAAGGGGCACCGCCCGAGCGCTTTATAGAGAGCCTCAGGTGTCTGCCGCTTTGCCCGGGCCGGTGCGTCCATGAGGGCTCCCTCCTGTCACTCACTGTAGCGTGGACAAGCTCTGTATGGTCCGCGGGTACAGGGAGTATCTGTCTCCTGTACCCAGACGGACTAACAGGAACAGGCAATCTAGTATATTATTCGTGGCACTAATCTCTAATTTACCTTACATTAAAGAAACACTATAGTCCCCAGAACCACTTCAGCTTAATGTAGTGGTTCTGGTGTCTATGGTCTGTCCCTGCAGGCCTTTTAATGTAAACACGGCAGCACTGCAGCACCGGCGTTAGTTAACATGGCAGATCATATGGGTGGGGCATTGTGATGTCACATGGGGGCGGCAAACTTTCCTTTTGCCTAGGACAGCAAAAATCCTTGCACCGGCCCTGAACAGAAGGTGACCAAGAACAGAGCCTTCTGGGACTCCAACTGAGACAGAACGATAGGAGGAGATGTCATTGAAAAGGAGACACTGAATGAATGTTGGGAAAGATAGGAAGAGAATCACAAGAGAACAGTGTTACAGAGACCAAGCGGTTGAAGAGTTTGGAGAAAGAGGACATGATCAACAGTGTCCAAGCTGGCATAGTAGTATTTTTACTACCATGGAGTAGTGTCCTTTGGATTTAGCTGCAATTAGGTCATTTGTAACTTTAGTCAGATCAGTCTCAGTAGAGTGGAGGGCGTGGAAGACAGATTGAAGATGGTCGAGGATAGAGTTGGAATTGAGGAAACAAGTAAAGTCAAGTCTTTCTATAAGCTTTAAGGAAAAAGGGAACAGGATTATGGGACGATAGTTGGAAGTGGAAGATGGGTCAAGAGATGGCTTTTTTAAAGATGTTAGCATTTAGGATGACACTAGCATGTTTAAGGGGAGCAGGGACAACATCAGATGAAATAAAGCAGTTGCAGATGTGTGTTAATAATGGTTCAAGACAAGGGGAGAAAGATCTGATAAGGTTAGAAGGGAAGGGATCAATCAGACATGTGGTAGGAAGAGAGGAGAGTAGAAGTGCAGCCACCTCCTGTTGAGTAGCTAGGGTAAAAAGCCTGGAGGGCAGGGAAAGTACAGTCACGGTGCGGTTGAGAGAGAAAGGATATTTTTTCCTTAACTGTTTAATCTTGTCGGTAAAGTAGCATGCAGAGATCTCAGCTAAAGCGTTAGTTTATGATGCATGAACTAATGAGAGAGGAAAAGTATGATTTTTGTTTATCAAGGGCGAGGGCTGTAATGTAAGAGCACAAGATTAATTTATAATGGAGAAAGTATGATGAGAATTTTCCAGAAATGCTATCTCTGCTTGAGGCATTAGCAGAATTGCTTGGTAACTGTGAATCCTAAGAGTAAACTTATGAATGCTGTATGAGGTCAAGGCTGCAAGAGAAAGTCTGGGGTTACATAGAAACTGCACTTGTGTTGGAAGGAGACATGTAAATATGGAGGTTAGATAGGAAAATTAAAGAAAAAAGCAGAGGAGAAAACATTTGAGGTTTAAAGATATGAGGGAATGGTAGAGACAAAATAGGCGAAAGTCATAAATTCACAAGACTATGAGTGCAAAAACTAACACTAACAAAAACAAACATTTAAAAAAGTAAGAGTTGAGGATGAAAGGTACAATAGTTATCAATTATGCAGTATTACTATAGAGGAGGGATTTAAATAGTAAAACAATTGAAATGTGAAATAAGAAAAAATAAGTAGTGCAGATAATCTTGAGTAGATATTCCAGAAATTTTACTTCTGCCTAAAGCAGCACTGTCATGCCGAACTTACCTTTCCCCAATCACTTCCACTCTCAGGATCTGTTCTTTATTTCTTCCTGTCTGCTCTAGTTTTCTTTAAACTTACAAAGTAGGAACTATTTCTCTTCTGGAGGTTTCCTACGCCTGACCATCTATGACCAGCGGAGGAGCAAAGTGTGGTTTGTTCCCAGTGGCCAGAAACATTTTTCCACAATCCTTAGCTTTCCTCCCTGTTCCCACGATGTTTCCTGTCAGTATTGCCAAATGTCCTGTCACTTAGACAGGACGCCGGCAAAACTACCGAATTGCATCCTAACAGAATGAGAACAATTTGTTCATTCATGTCAGGATGAAATTCGGGACTTTGTTCGTATCGGAATTTCATTAGAATGAATGAAACTCTGATCTGATTAGTGCCGCAACTGCATCTTGCAGCCACTTAGTAGATAGCTCCCTTATACCGTGGGAATTAGGGAGCTATCTACCAAAAAGTTGAAAGACCTAAGTTGGTCTTTTAGCCACATTTACTAATACTAAGTAAAAATTACTTAGTATTAGTAAATTCTGCCCCTACTCGGTATACCGCGAGTAGGGGCATGTCTAGTAGACAGTGAGCAGCCAGTGGCCCCTAGTCACCCCCCCACCTAAATACAAACTATCCCCTACTTACCCCCCTCACCCTAAAATTAGTGAGGGGGGAATAAAATAACTAACCTGTAAAGAAAAAGAAAACTTACCATTTGATGTCTTCTTTATTCTAAAATCTTCATTTTTCAGCCCCAAAAAAGGCCAAATAAAAAACCATCATACCCATCGAACCTAAAATAAAATTAAAAACCTGAGCTCAAAAAAAAAAAAAAAAAGCCGAAAAAGAAAAAAATACACTAAAATATTAATCCATCTTCACCCGGCGAGGGCACGGCGAAGAGTGAGTTCAGCAGGGCGAGTTAAGGCTTATAAAGCCTTGCCCTGCCCTGCAATTAGGCTAAAAACACTGATTGATCATAGTGCGCTTTGTCCAAAGAACTTTCCCACGCTGTGTAAAATGACTCGTAACACTCTGATTGGATGGCTTGAAATCCATCCAGTCAGAGTGCTCTGTGTCATTTTACACAGCGTGGGAAAGTTCTTTGAAATTTTCACACGCTGTGTAATTTGACTCATAGCATTCAGGTTAGATTCCACGCAGGGGTGGGGGCCGTGGGGAGGACAGTAGGGGCTATTTTTATTTTTGTATTTTTTTTACAGTGAGCAGCCATAGGCTACTCACTGTTTAGTAGACATGCCCCTACTTGCGGTATAGCTAGTAGGGGCATTTGGGAGATTTTAATCTCCCTTATGCTATTATGGTGGTCATATTGACCCCCATAGAGTGAGGGGGGACATAGGGGGCTTAGGAAGTGGCGGGGAGCAATGCTCCTGGCCGCTTCTATCTTTACATATTACAAGGAGGGAGCTGCGAGTCGGTAGCTCCCTCCTTGTAATAAACTGAACGAACAAACAAACACTGATATTCGGTGTTTGTTTGTTCGTCTGAAATTTCTATTCATTTGATCAGCTTTCTGACGAATGAATGGATGAAATTCCCGTTCGCATGCCCAGGTGTTTAATTTGGCATGTGCAGGAATTTCACAGCGCTATCTAGTGTGGGCAGATGACGTGTCCCACAGGGACTTCCTCTACCCACACAAAAATGGTGGCGCCCTGAATATAGGTCGTGGCAGAAAATAAAGTTATAAAATAGGTAATATGGGGGTCTTGGGGGCATTTGGGGGTGACTAAGGGGTCAGTTAGATGTAGTGGAGTCAGGAGTGGGGTTAAAAAAGAAAACGGGATTCGGCCATGACAGTGCCACTTGATCTGTTCTTTTCTTCCTCTCTGATCTGGTTTTCTTTAAAACATAAGACAAAGTAGGGACTAAAAAGGAGAGAATTGTCTGGAATTCCAAGTGACCTTTGTTACCAGTTCAGCTATTTTGGATTTTAATTGTAGATTATGCTAGCTTTAGTGTACCTATAATCTTAATTGTATTAAAGACAGGAAGAGAGTATTTGATTAAGTGTCTCTTTACTAGAACTCCACAGCAGCACAGAAAAACAACCAATCAGAAAAAAGTTAGGTACTATAAAACTTTCCTCCCCACACAACATTTCCTCTTTCCAGCTGCGACAAAACAGAACAAAAGGCAGAAAATTTAATGGGGAAGAAACGAAGTGCTAGATACAATGAATACAACAGTGTCCATCATGCGAGAAGAACTGCCAAACCAGACAGCGTTGATGGACTGTAAACTAAAACGAGAGAAAAAACACAATCGAACAGGTTGGTTAGCCAATGAAATGTACTCTAAACAAACACGTAGGTACCCAATGTAGCAACCAAAAAGACCCTAATATGTAGATATCCCAACCCTACTTATGAAAAAATAGACATTAGAACAAGTGGCAGGTAGCAGAGACAACAAGCAGAGTTACATACGTACCTGATGAACTATTAAAATTAAACAAGGGAGGGATAAGAATGGGCAGGAAATACTTGCCTCCTGTCATTAATAAAATTAAGATTATAGGTACACTAAAGCTAGCATAATCTACAATTTTATAACATGACAGGAGGCTTCGCATTTGCTGTTTTAACACTCAGCCAACAAATCCAACGCGGTTTGTTTCGCTGGTACCTATTCCGGGAGATGACAGAGTAATCCCCAATGGACCAGTAGGCGGATCAATGAAGATGCCAGCTGTCGATGTACCCCATAATACGGGAAAAACTTAATCCACTGTTAGATCCACTGTACGTGGGGTTACGACCTGTTTCATAGCAGACGTTCATGAACTGCAAAGCTGACCTATTAGCCATTTTCCTGTAGGTGTAAAATACCGAAGTTCATCCGTGGATTTAGGATTGCATGAAAAACTGCCACCAGGTCTCGACCATTGATGTGGAAGGTGGCATCTTAATCGTGCCAGAATCACCATGTGATGTGGCCTTGTAGGCTAAATTCCAACCTCAGGTAATGCGTTCGAGTCTACCACCAACTCCGTAACCGAACCGAATAGGGCCTTATCGTTCCCTCATGACCTACCCGGTGAGTGGACTAGTCTGAAAATGAGTCTATTATGCAGGCAAGAGTGTTTCCAGTCCCCCAAATGGACTGCATAACCTGCAACTGTGGTAGAACAAGGTAGTCTCAATGGACGTCCAATAAGAGTTCCAACACTGAGCTTGTGTAGCGAAACTGTGATCGACTACTCTGGGGACTGTGAATCCTGGATATGCCCCAAAGAGGGAAACGAAACTAGAGGTTGATATCTCCAGCCAAATATATCCTCGTCAAGGATTGATAAGTGGTCCGGATCCAAGGGTAATAGGGCCCTGCATGGATGAAGAAGAGTCCTCACATGCTGTATTCGCGTGGTGGACCACAAAAGCTTTGAAAGCGGTTTAAAGTGTAGGCAGGCTGGCGAAAAACCGAGTCGGCCCTGGTGAGTGGGTCTGGAGCAGGACATCCATCCGTGAGACTGGCGACTGATTAGGGAGAGAGTGAATAATCTGATTAATCGTCTGTACGATCCTGTTCCATGCCTGACCTGTCAAGATTTGTGGAGGAACTCACGGTCTGCACGCCACATTCAAGATAGGGTATAATATAGTGAGACCTTTAGGTCCCTGTATGCCTGACTGTCCGGACACGTATCTCCAAGAGTAGGCCCAGGAATGTGAATTCAAGAACTGAAGTCAAGATATGCCTATAGAGGAATACCTCCCTTCTTAGCCTGGAGTCCCGCGAACTTATAGCATTTTCCAATACGCCGGTAAGACATAAAGTCCCTTTACTAATGACAGGTGACTCCAGAGAACAGACATAGCAAAAAAACAGGCCCACGCTTCAACATTCCAAAGCAGGGGCTGTCTAGTTTTAGAGCGGCGGCAGTCATATCCAAGCCTGCTACAGATCCTGAGCAGTACTCCAGCGATGGGTTGCGTCCCGACTTTGTGACATCTGTGGGCTCTATGGGGGAACCCTGTGTGTCGCCAAGTATGTGTCTTGACAGTAGTTGAATTAGTGGTTTAGCAGAAACCATAACCAAGATGGTTCCCGCGAGGAATAATTGTACAGAAGGAGGGCCCCCCATATCCGAATCATGTTCCCCAGATATGTTCTCAGAGGAGTAGAGGTAGACCTGTCCTCTATCCCACAGTTGTTAACGACCAGGGACCCTCCCCAAAAAATAAATAAATAAATAAATAGACCGGGGACTCTGGTCTTTCCATGTGAACCATTTGTACGGTGTACCTGCAGACCGGGTTATGGGCCTTCCCCAGTCTTGTTATCCGGGTAAAGCAGTGCACGTTTGTTCTATGAAGGCCTCAGCATTTCCTGTCCCTTGATCTGGGAAAAGACTGTCTGAGTAGCTTGTTCGCAATGGTCTGTATAACCTAAGCAGATTGCGATTACTTGTCGGATATAGAGCAGATTATGCCAAAACCTGTCTCATATAATAACTGAAGCTCCTCCGTTAGTAGTACAAACTCGAAAGGTAAGTCCAATAGGAATGGTATAGGGTCACCACCAAAGTGGGCCAATCCTGGGAGCTGTACCCAAGATAGTTAGTTCAAACTCCCCCTACATTGCCCCATAAGGCCTCAGGGTAATGTGTAAATAAGGTGGGGGATCTCCCCAGTAATACCTCAGTGAGTCTCTCCCGTGCGGGCTACAGCGGTACGGATCCAGTAGATCCATTATAGGGGATGAAATAGAGGAATCCAGTCTAAACGTGTATATCATGTACGATCAGGTAGCCCTCTATAACAAAACCAGTTGCACAGTCATTAGATCTAATGGAGGGGTTCTCTCTCCTTAACCAGTCATTATGAAGCATCGTCTCCCATGCATACCGGTGAGGTACTATAACCCATGTTACAAGAGTTGAAGCATCAGAGGAAAACCCGGTATGTGGTATGTGGTATGTACTGTGATAAAGTGAAGGCAGATAGGCCTATAACATGTAACCCCAGTGGGAGTATGTGTAGTATATGTTGTAGGCAACACAAACCAAAGTTTAGTTATGGGCCCCTGGGGTGGAGCATTTGGAGAGAAGAGTGGGCCAATGCTCCACTCCCCAGTTTGCATACAACTGGGAGAAATAAGTTCCAGGCCAGAATTTTGATCGGTCTCCAACCCACTGCTCAGCTGCAGATAATCAGCTGCAGCAGTGGGAATAAACCCCTCCTCCTAGGCAGGTAGAGGGGGATTGCTAGCTTCCTCCCTGGAAGCAGGAAGGAGAGACGCTATTCTCTCCTGTGAGAGGGTCAAGGAGACTGAGCACTGGGAGTACAGAAGGAAAGCAGTTAAGGCTGGCTTGGAGCACTGGGTGTGCAGAAGGAAAGCAATTACGGCTGGCATGGAGCACTGGGAGTGCAGAAAGGAAAGCAGCAGGTTAGCTGAGAGCACTGGAGTGCAGAAAAGGAAAGAGAATTTTGTTTCTTTCTAGAAGGAATGGAAGCCACATGCTAACTGAGTGTGGAGTGCAGAGATCTGACAAAGGCACTAGGTTGGTGAAACCAATTATTGTTCTGATATAGTTTAAACCCTTGAGAGATAGGGAACTTGATGTTAGTAAGTGCTCAGACCGAGCTAGGTTTTTGTTTATAGGGATTTGTGTTACTGTTTGTTTTTCATTTGCTGCTGTTTCTGTGGTGGAGTTTAACAATAAAGTGCCTGGAATGAAGTTGCCTTAAAAGACTGTGCATGTTTGTGCCCAAGAGGACCTTGCTACCTGCAGACAAAGGATCACAGTACCTCCATATTGACTTGAATGTAGGAGGGTCACCCGTCTATGAAGTCATCGTTGTCCTGTACTGG